ACAATTGGTTTGTCTTTACAGAGAGTGTGTTGTCGTGTCCGCCAAACGAAGAGTACAGGAATTGTAGTAAAGTTTGCGATAAAGTATGCAATAAAGAGGACACCAATTGTGACGCGAGTATTAGCTGTAAAAAAGGATGCTTTTGTAAAAATGGTTTTATTCGTCAAAATATTAATGCAAAATGTATTAAAGAAAATAATTGTTTCGTTATTTTAAAGGACAGCGAATCGACATAAGATTGCAATCAAAAACTTTTTCGTATAATAAAATAAACGGCAAATAAAATCGTCTCTCAATTTAATACATTGAAAGTGTGTATTATATTTAGATTTCAAAGAAAATTATATTTAATTAAATATTTTGAATATTTATGTAAATAGTAAATGAATTTTGCATTAAAATAATATAAATATATAAATCATCGCATGATTACAACACAAATCATTCAATTATACAATTATTCAGATGTACAGGATTTATATCCACTTTATTAATGACATTTAAATGTTTATAACTGCAATACTTTTGCAAAATATTTAGATTTTTATTAATTATCTTAATTTCATATATTTTGTCATTTACTGCAAATTAGCAAAAGATTTTGCTCTGAGATAATGATTTAGTTATAAGTAATTAGGGATTGAGTCGGGAATCACATTAGGATTCATGAGTTTTGCGGTCGTTTTATTGATATAAACAATAACTGTTTGGCAAAAACAGGAAACTCTTAATATTGCAAACGCAAGCCTTAAAGCGATGGCTCAATGATTGGCTCTGAATTAAGTGATGACTGAGATTGGGATACAAATCAAGAAAATGTGAAAATGAGTGAAACTGAAAACTCAATGAAATCGATAATTAATTGATTGCGAGTCTAATGGGAAACATATGTATTGTCGTGCGGTTTGCCATTTATATGAATCGATCGATTCATCAGATCTTTGCAAAAGAGTAATTTTCAAATTATTAACTGATTAGCAAATCAAATGGTTTTGAATGCTTCAAAAAGTGTTACCAATTGTAGGAATGACACACTTTTCAAGAGATACCAAGGAGAGAGAGAGAGAGAGAGTACACAGGTTGTTAAAATGTATGTGATATTTAATACAACGGTGTGTAGATTGCAATTATTAAATGAATGGTTGAATGAATATATTTAACTGTATTCAGAGGTATTGTCCGGCCGTGTAATGAATGGCCAGACTTTTGCCTTTATAATAAATATATGACAAATAAATATGAATATCAATATTATTCTCATTCTTACGATGAATGCAATGAATTCATTACAAAACGGTATAAAATTTTAATTATTTATAAAACTACATAAAATTAAATGTTGTTTAATTTAATTCCACTATAAAGTGATACAAAACTGCACATATAATCAAACCAATGGTACGACAAATGGGACGCAGAGTTTGGGCAATGATACCCACTGTCCCTCATTCTCACAGCTTATATGTCCCACAAAATGCGATCCCGTAATTAATTACACACAACCTTTTGAATCAACATTAATATGACTTTAGTTTGGTTTCAGACCTGCAAACAGCCGCTAATCAAGAGATCGATGTGTACTCAACCCATCTCTTGTCCGGAAAAGGCCTGCGTTTGTGGTCCCGAATACGTGAAAGACAACACACATAAGTGTATTCCCCGACACCGGTGTTGTAAGCGCTCTACACTTTACCTCAATATTGATATATTAAGTGCTGATATATACCCCGTATTTGAATAGCAGAGAATTGTTCAACGGATGAGATCTACAAACTGTGCCCGTCTTCGTGTGACATCCACTGCGGGAATGTCGACAATCCGCCCAAATCTTGTCCCGAAGACAAACGCGATGAACACGAATGTATCGCCGGATGTGTCTGTCCTTCGGGTCTCATTAGGGACTATAGCACTGGAAAGTGCGTCAAAAAAGAGATGTGCTCTCAGAGTGAGTCCAAATGGAAATTGTTTTTAGAGTTTAATCGGTTAACAATTGGTTTGTCTTTACAGAGAGTGTGTTGTCGTGTCCGCCAAACGAAGAGTACAGGAATTGTAGTAAAGTTTGCGATAAAGTATGCAATAAAGAGGACACCAATTGTGACGCGAGTATTAGCTG